ATTCACTTGCCCGTCAAAAATCACCGGTGCTTGACAGGTCTACGCCAAGTGCAATATGTTTTTGCGCCATTGCGAGAGTCGAAAGTAAACAAAGCGTATATTGCTATTTCAATAGAACTTGTCCACATCAAAAGTTGCATGGACATTTTCTTCGCTCGACAGCGTTGCCTATTTTTCCATTTCTTCGAAGATTGGATACCACCTTGCTCCCTTTCATTTTTCATAGCTCAAATTTTATTTACGAAGATTAGATATTCATTTTTTGCGCTTCTGCACTGTCCTGATCTGATCAGAACTCTACCGATTTGAGGAGAATGTGTCAAATAGCGTTTGCGTAAGACCACTTCTGAACAAGACGTTTAAGTTTTCCGGAGGATAAGCACAGCCAATAACAAGAGCAGAAGTTTGACTTATTGCAGAATTCTGACACAGCGAGCAATTAGTGCTTTTGATGAGCAAGTTTCCAAGAGCTCATTCTAATGAGTGGATATATAACCTCCAACAAAGTACGAGTCACTTGCAATAAATAGTGCTTATAGCAACTGAAAAATCTCCAAGCTATTCTTAAATTGCTTGGAGATTGATAGCATACTGATTGATGTCAGGAAGTGCCTTAGGAAAAACCGCGACGCGTGCATAACCTGCGAGGTCATTCAGATTATAAATAGTGAGCATGACTGGCCACAACAACTGCGTACTCTTGAGCGGCGTTGAATGCCTGCTACTGGCATTAGCACCAGCGCGTTCGCGAGATTACAAGCAGGGCCCTCGTGAGGGTACGTATGGCAAGAAGCTAATTGTAGGACAGCGATTTGACGGTCCGTAGGTTACCATTTTGATGGGCTCTCTGACCTTTTGCGCGTGTTCGTCCCATCCATGCTGTGTGGGCTTGAAATCGATCGAGGCCATTCACACGAACCAACGAGCCTCAGTTGGTTTCGTCCGCACTTAGTCCTTGGTTCAATGCTGCTCGATCCTGCAACAGGGATGCCACGCATTCTGGTTCAAAGACCGCCTCGGCGCTTTGCCCAGGCTGCTTATCTCCATAGTCTGCTCAATCAACCACCTCCCTGGCCTTTATTTGTGCTTTCTCGTATCGATCCGTTGGTCTCTATTGTCTTCGTAATAAACGGAGGTAATGTCTCTCAGTATGAACCTAAGCGGGGCCATTTTCTCGTGCTTCGACTGGCACGACCTTTCTCAAACTCTTCTGCACGACATCTTTCGCCCCATCGCCTCCATCCATTCATCCTTTGAAGGACCATTACGCATCCCATTGCACAATCTCCATGGAACTCTGCTCATCGCAACTTGCATGCAAATCGCCATCAAAGGGTACTTGCAATCGCATTAATGAGGCGTACTTGATGGGTTTGTACTGATATGAGGACAATCACTTGGTACAATCTCCTCTCTACAACTATGTTGCACACGAAGTGTTGAAACGAACTGAATGCTTCCTCCGAATGATGGCTGCTGATACTTTGTTGAAAAACTCGTGTTACTCTTCTCAGTCTCTTTTCATTCTTTTTCATAATGCGTTCGCTCTTCTTATTTCTACAAGAATACTGAAAAGTATGGTACTCTTTTGCTGCCTCGATCTTCCTGTACTTCTCTATATAATTGCACCTGCATATATTTTCCAAGTTGTCATTGCTCATGGCTAACAAACCTCACCATTGATGTTGTCATGACAATCCGAAAGTGGCACTGCTTTGTGTGCATTCACATCGTAGACTAACAATTAAATAAAAGAAGCTCAACCACAAGTCTGTCACAGTCTTATGTAGTGAATTATTTGTTTTTCTCTGGATGGTTGTTGATTATATTGGGACCAAAATCTCAAATCTCAAAATTGTACCAGTCTTGTATGAAAATGCTGTGATTAGATGTGCTCTTCTTCTCTTCTACGAATCTTCACCTACATCGCGAGGCTGGACAGTGCACAGGTAACTGCAAACATTCATGAAATTTTTGAGTTTTGTATGGTAAACCTGCACTTAGCCCTGCACTTTTTTGTGCGCATAAGCCTAAACTTCTACAATGTCAACAGAAATCCCTGCAAATGCTGTCTCACACCTATACTTCTAAAACAAGTTACATGTTTGTTTTAATCTGACAAGAAATATGGGTTTTACCCAAAATTTCTAGCCTTTGCTGCAAGATGAGACATTTCTATCTATTGCATCTCCATTCCGTCAAAATTCACTGTCCATATTCTGAACTTCATAAATACTTGTGCAGTTGAATACTAGGTGAGAACTATCTAGGTGATAATACAGAGAAAACTTTTTCGAGCATCTTCTGATTAGCTGCTCCTAGTTACCTCTATCTCTTCCCTACGCCCTTTTTAAGAGCCAACTTCCATAGCGATGGAAAGAATCCGCGTCTCTCAGCATACGTATGAAAGTTGCGAGCTCCTTCTAACCTAACGTCACTCCCAAGCGTAAAATAACAATAAAGCAGAAAGCGAATTGAACCTCTGAATGCAGTAAGTCATGTCTCTGAAAATGTCGATGTTATAGGCAAAATTCTCGTCCTTAGCTGGCAAGCCTAGCTGCTCACCTCGCTTTTGTTTTCGAAAGAGTTTACATGCACTCTCACCTAGACGCGTTTTTCATCAATATTTGCCAGAAGCTGCACTCATCTTTTCTGCACTTCATGCAGAAAAGATCTAAATTCAAATTGCTTCTATGCTCTCTGTAATCCTGGAAAATTAGGTACTTATCTGGAAAATCTATTATTTCTATTTCAGTGAATGGAAAGCTGAAAATCGAAACCGCGCTTGAGGCTAAGGATAAAAGCTGATACACAATGCCATGCATCACTCGATGCTAAAAGTCGTAGAGCGCGACATCTCAATGACATCATTACTGCAATCGTTCCATCTCGACATTTCGGCTACTTTTTCCTATATCCAGATGGTCTCGTGCTGTTGCAGCTCATTCGCCCTTCACTCACATCCAGATGCGATCCCATCTGGAAGCGGCAATTTCGAAAACTCGTCCGTCGTTTTATTAACTTTCGTATATTATAAGCGCAGCTTTGGTTTTCTGTGCAAATGCATTAGCTAACATTGGCTTGATGTTTTGATGTCTCTGTTAGCTCAGACTAGATTTGCTGGAAAGCATCTTATACGCAGCTTTCCCCCCTCGCAATGAAATTATGCACTTTTTTAGGTAGAAAGGGTACAAAAAAAAACTATCGAATCTCTTAGAAACATAATTTTCGAGTTTTTAGATCGATAATGCACGATATCGTTGAAGGACACTGACAAACATCGATTATATGCGTTATTTACTTCTGTGTAACTATATAAGTGTACACTACGAATGACTACTCACTCTAAACATTCGCAGACATGCCTCAGATTGCAAGTCGTGCAATGTGTGTTGTTTAAACTATGAGTAATCATTGTATAATCTTGCACGATTTGATATAAGCAGCTTTCGGTGAGCCTCTTCCATAACGTGAACTCTTGTCCAGTTCTGTTAGTCCTGCTGTTTATAAATTCGATCTCGAATTTCCATTTCAGTGCTAGTCGCAAGGATGCTCCAGTTTCACTCTTTATCTCTTCATTTGAGTTTTCTGTACTAACACTTCTTGTTCAGGCTGATGTTAAAGTCGTATGAAATTTTGTTTGTTGTCTGAATCGAGTATATTCCACATAAAACTTCCAAACTCCTATGATTGTACATATTTTTGTCGTGCTAGCTTATCTTAGAGTAGTTATAGGATACCAGACCATGAATTCAAAGGTCCATCGACTAATTTGAATTCGAAGATTCTTCTCTAATAGGTCTTTTCTACCGGTCGTCACAGTATACAATGTATCCCATATGGTTCCTGCAAGTAGGCTGTACAGTACATGAGGATTTATGATCTTTCGATATATGGCAGAATATGCGTCATAAAAAGATTTCGCGTCATTATACGACACCTCCATGTGAATTGTGGCCCGAAAAACTGGATTACGCCTTTCGAAAGCGCATAAAGGATGCGTACGTAGCTTTGATGCCTGTAACGCTCAATCCGAGATTGGGCGCTCATTCTATTGAGTATTTGCACCAGATCAGGCTTAGGCTCTATTCTGTGCACGTTTCTTCCATGGAATTCTGTTTTAATGGTACCTAGAAGTTGCGCAATATATTCGCATGTATGCTTGAATGGGCAGAAGGTCAGGCCCTCCCTCCGCAGACTGAACGAGCTCACCATTGTCCATAGCAATTTGTACCAGTAGTCCGCGGAGGCGGAGCCTGTTGGCAGTATATAGTTCGCCGGCCGCGAAAATTCCATGTATCTCCAACTTCTATCCCTCCTAGTATTAAGCACAGAGATTAATCAGGCATCAAAATTTTTTTTTGTCAAAGGTGCTTTGCCCATCATCTAAGCTGGAAGATGATGCAGATGCATATTTTACATGGAATTTTCAAAATTGCAAAAATTAAAAAACCTCCTTAGTATATACAAGAAACGTCATTTTTGTTGAGCGCATTTATCTACAGCCTAGCTACCATGCCAATTCCTCCCCAGTTATGTTAGTTCCTCTCTTTTACTGATTTGCTTCAAGTTTGTCAGGTATACAGTAACCAAGTACGAGCAATTACAAGTTTTGAGTGACATCTGGATATTGGATGCGTGCTGAAATTGTTGTACGGCAATTTCCGTCTGAGTAGCCTTCACGGCGTTGACGTTTTTTTTTCCTTCATGGGAAGAAGGAGGAGAATAGTTCTCATAGTTCCTTCAATCGCCGATCATTCTAGATGGATAACTCTCCTTATAGAGTTTTGCATCTCTCTATAAGTTTTGCGTTCCATGCTTACTACCTTCTCTGCTAAGAAATGCTTCATATCAATTTGCCATAAGATCCTATGCCTTGTGATTTTTTTCACTTTGAAAACGCCATTTCGAAACCAATTCTATGTCAACTCGTTGACTAATAATTCTGCCTCCACTCGTTTCCTTCTCAAGGGTTTTCTCCAAACACCGTCATATTTCAGATGGAAATCGGTTACGATTTCTCGGAAATTTTCCAATCGGAGCCAATTCAACGCCTGGACCGCACACAATTGACCCGTTTCAACCCCAGAAAATTCTGGGCAGTCCAGAAAGCGATTGATACCCTAGGAGTTTTGTCAACAGAGGTATATATCTCCTGTTTCCGTCTTCGGTGACATCCTGAGCCCATTCCGCCAGCTCTTTTTCTCCTCCGCAATCAAGCATTCATGGTCTGCCAAAGACTATACATTTCCAAGTAGAGAATTGTGTTGCCAGGTGCTATAGAGGATTTCGAACTCAAGGGAACATGGGAGCGCAATATCTTACAACATCTGTATTTATGAGGGAGCATCATTAGTATTATGAAAATATTCTAAGATGATGATTTTATTTTTCCAATTACAGCTACACGAGGTTGAACCACTTAGTCACAAGTGATGTATGTTTCTCCATCATTTGCATTTGAGTTCCTGAATAACTATGCACAGATTGAATTAATCCATACTTTTTCATATCAAACGAACGCGTTTTGAAACCTTGCAGTTTATACCTCAAACTAATAACACCCATAAACCATCATCAAATAAAAATCGGCTTTAGTTCTTCCCCAAACTTTTTTTGACGATCCTGCGGTACAGGTTAAGCGGTCTATACGGTACACAAATCTATTCAAAAAAATCTAAATCAACCAATCTGCCATTTAAAAATGTGAAAAAAAAAACTCTGTAACGTGTCATGTAAATAGAGATGCATTTTTTTGACAACAACAATTATTTTCCTCTTCACCAATCCTTGATCATTTACACTCGCAAATGTTTTTCCAAAAAGCCAACGCAAGCTTTTGAGTTTGCAGCTTGTAATTTAGTTTTGTGCACTTGCTACGTCCTGGATATGGGTGAAGTTGAATGTATCATTATTTGAAATACATCCTCAACCTTAACAACTATATTCTTCCATACGTTCGTGTTTTGCGTATGCTAAGGTAACAAAATCAACAGCGCTTTCTTTGATGGTTACCTGTTGTCACCGTTTACTAAAAGAAATGTCCAGTTCCAGTTATCATAATGGCTGCCACGATAATTTTTTGACCGACTGCCACAAACGAATTTATTGCTTCAAAAAGATTTGCAAAATTGGTGTGGAAATGGCCCAACCGAAAAACATCTTCCTTTTTCCAGTTTCAGTTTACACTGGAATTCGGGCACGTTCAAACGTTTGCTGGAATTGTTGGCAACCTGCTACATTCGCCAAAAGGACCCACCTTTCTGAACCGGTTGCCATAGCAGCGCGCATCTGATTGGTCAATGCCGGCTATGATTGGTCGAATATTAGCCGGGCGAGTACGCTGGCATACTCACAAGATAAGAATTGATTAGATAGCAGTGGCGTACCGAGGGGGGGGGGGCGGGGGGGGGGGCGCCCCCCCCCCGAGAACGGGTCGCGAAATTTTTGAAAGTTACTTATATGGGTTATAAAATTGTGCAAATGACTTCTCTGCACTTGTAAATAATCAAAATAATTTTTAAATTTTTTTGAAAATTCGTTTTAGCCTTATAAAAAAATTTTTTTCGAAGTGCGTGGCAGACGCCACGCCCCCTTTTTCCAGGTTTTAGGGGTCGGGGACCCGCAAAAATTTCGAGAAGCACCCCAAAATTTTTTTCGAAGTGCGTGGCAGACGCCACGCACCTTCATTAGAAAAAAATTTTTGTCGCCCCCCCCCCCCCGAGCCGAAATCCTGGGTACGCCACTGTTAGATAGATATACAGCATACTTTGAAAGCGCGATGCTTAATGCACAATCATCCTTTTGATTGACCTAGCCAGCAATCAAGGTGTACGGTCAAACTCACTCTAGCCAGAAAAACCGATGAATAAGAGATATACAGATAGAAATGACAAGAACATCTTAGAACCCTTCCACTTTCTTTATTTCTATGCTCACTGCAATGAGTAGGGTACTGGGTCGATACTAAAGCATTACAGGATGTAATTAGTCGACAAATTTGGGCGCAGACTTAGAATTGGGTTTACTTACCAATAGAGGAAGCCCGTTGATTTTATGTAAATCACGCTTCAGGGGACCGAGAGAGCAACATTATTTCAATTCGAAAAAACAAATAAAACACATGTCTAGAAGAGAGTTTGTTGGAGTGACAGTGACAAACCTGAGCTTTAGCAAATGGATATATTTCATTCCGGATCACCAAAAGAATACATGGAAAAGTCTAAATCTTCTTAAAATCTGCTCAAAAATCGTGATGTCGTTTCAGGCACAAGGGCTAAAGCGAATTTTAACCACTTATGAAAAAGTACTAAATCAACCGGAGGATCAGTTTTTGTACTTGATGTGGCATCGACATCCGTCTAAACCGTGAGTTTGATTTATTACTATCACATGGCTTTCTCCTAAAAAGCCCACTGAAACGCAAAATCTGTATTTTCAGTTCAACCAGCGTGCTTATCGGGCTTCTCAAAGTAGGCAAGAAACATCTTTACTTGACGGACATTGAGCAGAAGAGATACGAAGAAGAACCGCTGTGCATCTTAGATTTTTACGTGCACGATTCCGTACAAAGACGAGGAAACGGGCATATGCTGTTTGAGCACATGCTTAACGTGAGTAATCTTTGGAAAATCAAAATCACTAACACATCACTATGCTTACATTATGACTTAGATAGTAGACGTCCCGTTTCAACGTTTTTCGAAGGATTTGCGAAAAGGAAAACTGCGTTAGCTGACCCTGGATTCTGTTGGAGAAAAACTCTCTACTGTTTTTGATTTCGATCTTTTTTTAGAGACATTAAAAAAGCTTGCGGGATTATTTGGTCAAAAAAATGCTCTTCGAATGCACACTTAAAACCTTTGAGTCTTGGAGAGTTCAGAGGAAATGTAAAAAAGTGCTACACAAAAGAAAAAAGAACTAAAGTTCTACAGAAGGATTATGTTTTCAAATATTAGGTCGTTCCGAAGGTAATGTCGCTTTTTTCAAATAGATGCCACATCTCGCGGAACCAAAATTTCCAAAAGATTCTGGGAACGTTCGATGCAGCATTTCATTCTCTTTCGTGGTTATTAACTCATTGCATAATTAATATTCAATGACTTCGAAAAATCACCAAAATCGACTCAAGCTTTGCCATGGTCAAACTCGGTTATTTTTCTAAATTCTTGTACTGATTCCCTCAAAAAGTGCAAGTAATGGCCAGATAAAGCAAACCCTATAGGATACGAAACAATGTTTTTCTTTTCCTTAGCTCGCCTCTTAGAATTTCTAAAACCATTTCTTTAATGCTGTCAAATTCCATATTTGATCAACTAAAACCTCACAAAACAACAACCGGCAAGCAACTCGGGTGTCATTCAACGCAGCTTTTTCTCCTTTTTCTATTGGTTATTCTTTGTTTCTGTTCGTAGAGTTTTCCGGGATAAAATCATCATAACTCAGATTTCCGCCCCCCCCCCTCCCCACGCTATACCCGGAATTTTCGAAGGTTGCTAATCTGGAGCAGCAAACGTTCATTTGCTTTGTGAAAATAGTGTCAAACCATAATCCACCTTTGTAAATTTCAAAATCCGAAGATTTATTGGTGTCTGATGCATTCGTGCCTGTGACGAGCCTGCTAAAATTCGGTGGTTCCAATAAAAACCTATAAAAAAATTATGACGAGCTATGGAAAATAGAAAAAAATTACGCTGTTTCCTGTAAGATTTTTTCTATCCATGCATCACTCGAACTCCTTCCGAGGGTTAATACAAAAATTTAGAAAAATTGTGAAACTCAATCTTCTCAAAAAGCATGGGTCGCAGATTTCGGTAATTTTTCAAAAGCTCATTGAATATTATGCAATGAAGTTAGAACAGTTAGAAAGAGAATGAAATGCTGCATCGAGTGCTACAATATCTCTTTTAAATCTTTGTTCCACGAGATGTGGCGTATCTTTGAAAAAAAACGACAATACTTTCGGAACGACCTAATATACAGGGTGTCCCAAAAATATGTATACAATGTCAGATCGTTAGTATCTCTTTTCCCAAGAGGACTTCTGCCTACCTTCATTTGCCGTTGTGTAAAGCTGGCTTCAACTTAGGTTTGCAGCATAAAGCGAACTTTTGAACGTTCTTCATTACTGTAGGATTACGGTAGAAGCTTTTTGCCTACAGCGCCTTGTCTCAATAGAGTTTCCAAAAAATCTGCAGAGTGGGGCAGCAAGGTTTTCACGCCCACTGATTTCATTACTCAACTTTCTGAGAACTTCTAAGGCTTTGTAAATTAATCACAATCTTAGGGAACATTTTAAAAATAGCTATTGCGACTTACCTAGCACAACTTATGAAGGAAGCAGTGCGGTAAAGTGCGAATTTCATATTCAGGCTTAGCAGCTCCAGTTAGCCTAAAGTAAGAGTTTCAGGTGATTTTTTTTGCTTTCTGAGGCACAATAAGGCCCTTAATGGCTCAAAAACCCTTATTGAAGTTCATACCGTAATCCTACAGTAATGAATAGGGATCGATGATACACCCGATACGTAAATCTAAGTTGAAGCCAGCTCTACAAAATGGTACCTACAGCATGGCAATAGACTTTTTCGGAAGAGAGTTACTGACGACCAAACAGTATTCTATCTTTTCATTTACGTTCAGCAAATGAATTAGGGGTTTTTGAGGTATTAAAAAAGACTATTTTTCTAGCAAGAATCAACTTCAGTCTCTGCAGTAGCTATTGATCGACCTTCAGATGCTTTCTTACAGTTTCTGTCAAAATTCTACGGACTGGAAAAACCCGGTAAGATATCAAAAGCTATTTTAGGTCCTTGAAGTAGAGTAGAATTGTATATCAGTGTGGCAGTCGACAAACTTTGTGGTGTTCCCCGAGTTCTTCGAGGGCAAGAAAACTATGGATAATATGGTCTACAACAAAAAAGGACAGAGAGAAGGTCGAAGTGAGAAATTCGGAACGAGCAAAAATTCTGAGGTGGGTGATAAGTCGCAAAAGCTCGCTAAAATATCTCCTTGGAAATCGCAAAGATGCTCTATTCCAGCACGCGATCCTAGAAGCGAACAGTAGGGATAGTGTAGCTGGGCTGCTTCACGGTGACACAGCTCCGGAATTCCGTCGAATTCCCGCTCCAGATACACCACTGGATCGAAAGAACAGGAGAGACTTCGGACATCAGAGCTTATGGTAGCCCTGTAGTATCTTCCAGTGCCAACGCTTTTGTTGTGAATTGTTATATAATGTACGCAGTTTTTGATTTTCATTTTGTTTGGATTATCAGTTACTTTGATTTTCATTGTTTTGAGAGGAGTTGGTGATCTCAGCTAGTCCACTTAATCCATCCGCTTCCAATAAAGATACTAAAGTCACAAAGATTGCTTCCTAAAGTACTACCACGTGTTTATCTAACAATAATGCTAATTCTTCCCAATTTTCGACAAATCCTTAATCCTATTATTTTATACGCCATGGAAAAAAGCATAATTTTGAACGCTCATTATGTTGACTGCTGACACAAGCATTTACAACTTCATCAAATGATAGTGATAAAAAGGTCAAAACTATAGAGTGATGTCTTAGCGTGTTCAAAAGACCAACACTGAGGAAATCGAATAGTGAAAAAACGTGAAGAATTCAGCTTTCTCTCCATTCACACTCAAGATTGTCGGGTTATTATCAAAAAGGAAGGTGATAGCGGCGATAGCGCATTAACTATATTTTCTCGTATAACGGTGAACATAACGGCGCAAGTTGGCTGATTCTGTGAACACTCAAACTTTTTGCATTTTGCTTAAAAAGAATACGCGATTTCGTAATGTCCATTTTCTTCGCGAAAACAAAATGCTGCATTTCAAGCTTATTGCCAAGATTCTACGTAATGGCGTCAGGATTTCCCGCTGATAACAGATGCTCTGGAGGAGCTGAAATGACCTTAGGACCAGTTTTCTAGTTGAAATAGGAAATGATCGCGCGAATAAAACTATGCTAAACTCTGCAAATATTTCGGGCTGTAAGCAGTCAGTAATCTTCAGACGGTAAGTCTTTTTGATACTTTGGAAATATTGTTGAATAAAATACGAATTGGCTACAAGAATAACTTCATGTTTAGCGCGAGCGCATTCTTGCAAGTGAGACTGAGGCAAAGATGATGCTTTCTTGGTGATCTCTGACGGTAGTTGATAACCTTTACGATCGATATACCTCATTTAACCAGATTATAGTACATCACAGAAATTGTTGACGGCCCGCTTATCCCTCCAATACAAAGACCGCTTCGAGTGTGGTCAAGGGAAGAGTCAACCTCCTATCAATGGTGGTCAAAAGTCTTTATCAATACCGATTATTTACTATCACATAAATTTCAGAGGCACAAAGCTACTGTGCCGACATGGCAGCAAAAGCTTGGTCCTGAATTGCTCCGCGTTTGAGCCCCCCTCCCCCCCCCCCCCCTCCCCAGCAAGCTGAGTGTAGCACTGAGCCGGCCATTCTTCAAGAATGGTCAGTAAAGAAGCAATCAAAAGAAAAACATTTCGCTGATTCATGTTTGACAACACTGAAACGCGTACAGCCGAGTGGCAAAAATACGTAGGAATCAAAGCGAAACATCGTACCAACGCTACTTAGTTTCGCTCGCCGTCTCTGAGCTAAAGAGCAATTAATATTATCGTATTGGGTGATTAAAAAACTGTCACCTCAAACATAATGGACAGCACTTATAATTTTCCAGTCATCTGTAGTCGAATACTTGTGATTCGGAATTATGCTTTGGTTTAAAAAAAACACTGAAGTTTGAGAAAATGCACTCCTGTACTATTATCTCACATCCAAAGTCTCTCATACATTCCGACTTAGATTGCACAGATACGGAATCCCTCAATCATTCATTAATCTGTCCGATGTCTGCCCATCTGACCAATAACAAAAAAATATGTGTTGCTAAAAGAGATTTATACATCTAGATGATGAAATCGTCGTAGTAACTATTGATTTAGCACTAGTTTCAATATCAAAGCTTCTACGTAAGAGTTTCGACTCAACAAGGGTTCTACACTTCCAAACTAAATAAAGTCCATTACAGATCGGTGGTATTTTCAAAAACCTCATAACATACATATTAATATTCTGCGAAAAAATTTATAATTACTTCCTTGTACGTATTGTTGGTATTCATTACACGAGAATAGGGACGCCATTCAGAATCAGCACCGTGTCATTTATAGAGCGCTGATAACCGATGTATATCTGCACTGTAGGACTCCAATATAATAGCAATCTTTTGAACCTAATTCAACATTTGAACGCAACGCTTTTGAACGAACAAAGAGGACCTTCCATAGAAATTTTTCATTTTGTCAACTACCGCTACCAATGGCAAACGATGTTTACTTGATACGCAATTCTAACTATGAAATTAAAGTGCAGATGGCTCAATTCATTTATTCAGCGATAATCTGAGTTAACAATGACATAAATCACACCACCCTCACTCTTGAAGTGCTAATCTAGATTAACAATTATCATTTCTCATAACAGTGCCAAGAATTGCAACTGACAATGCTAGTCTAATCAAGGTCAACAATATTAGAGAAGCTTTAGTTAACTGGAGAAAATGACTACGCAATCAGTAAAATACGGGTAATTTCGCTCAATTGAGATTGTTCAATGGATCAACATTAGAACAAAAAGTCTAAAGAATGAGAAGTGGTGCGCTACAAACATTGCTACGGACACAAATTCAACTCCAAGTAGCAATACCATTGTTTTGATTATTCTCACTAAATGTCGCTGAATGCATGTGATCACAAACCTATGCTTTTCAAGAAATTTACGACACATAATACGGAAGTGCTTCCATGCCTCATGTGACTTGGGCGAACTGCGGCGCACGTGCCTCGCTTGTGACCAGGCGACGCACGTCCATGCTTAGACACAGCAACCACAAGTAAAAATCTTCCAGAACCTAACGCAGTTCAATTCTTTGCAAATTACATGCACAACATAACAGTGATCTTTCTGATGCCTATTTATAGCTACAAAGTCAAAAAAAAATTATTCGACGATCGATGTTGACTACTATAATCCTTGCACGATCCTATGAACAAAAAAGGCGACGAAAATAACAACTTCCGCACGATTTTCTACGAGTTGGACTAGAATTAATACCAACAATCGTTATCTTACTACTACAAGGTGGCCGAAGCGGAGCACTGCTTAGGATGACCCAATGCCGTTACGCAACCCGACCCACTGTTCGCAATAATTGCGTACGTCCACATATGCTCATCCAACACAGCATAGGCAGGTGCTATTGTGTAACTACACAACCTTCCAAATTCGGTTCAAACGAGATGCTGCGACGCCGAATTACTAGACAGATGGATTTTGAATTACATACGCCAGATACTTGCAACAAAACATAGCCTACCTCGCTGACAAAAATAACCTAAGAACAAAATAGGCAAAACAGTTGCTTGAAAAAGAAAGCAAAACAGGATGTCTGTGAAGTCCGTAAGTGGACGCAAGCCAATGTTAAAACGGCCACAAAAGGTATGTGAAAAAGTCTGGTATGATGTTGGAAGTCAAAAGCCAACTTAGACAAAAGTTCTTGTAAAAAACAATAGAAGCAATGTAAACATGCAAGAAAACGGTAACTTCCCTGCGAACTATGTGGCTACGGGTATATCCAATTACAGTACACACGCAGTACATAGCCGGAGAGCTGGTTACCGAGAAGTAGGGAATACGATTTTGCAGCATATAAGAGCGTGTAGAGATCGGGATCATTATCATTACGGGTACATCGCAGGCGTGTCGTCCGTAAATAATGACCCGGACCTCAATAAAACGCTAGATTGCAGACAGAATGGACCAGTAGTCGAAGAATGGTTAGGCAGCCAGCACACACACAACACACACAACAGATGAGGTCAGTCGATAAGGGAGGTGGAGAGGGTGGGACGCGCGCGCGGCGCGTAAACAAAGGCGCTCGGGGGTCACGCGGACGCCACCCGCACCCCGTGACCCGCGAGCGATTCGGAATAGGCCGCCTATTAGCATATGTCAAGTAATCGATACACGAGAGTGGAACGCAGAGGGCAAATGCTGCTCACTAGTACACCAACTAGTCTAACGGTCGTTCACTTTCGAAATTTCGTTTGTATAGCGGCAGAACGTGCGGTCGTGTGCGATACATGATGATGCACGACGGTGGGTCATTAGTAGATACAAAGAAACGATTCGAATAATGCCAGCCAATGAACTCAATCAATAACCTCATGTTTGGTTCAACAAAACAGAAAAAGCGACCATTGACTGCGCTCTGGTGTGTCGTGTGCAATCACAGCGATAACACAGCGACACAGCCGTGCCGTACCAGTCACTGTACGATGCTATAAAAACCGAGTCACGACCGACGTGCCCTATCACGAAGGATACAAGTGCACTTATCGAGCTCACTCCGCTCAAGCTATGTACATTACGGGTACAGTCACTCAAAATGCACACGGAATGCATAGCTCGTGCAGAGTGACTCACATGCAGCAGGAACTGGTTGCCAGCAGTACAGAAGAAGTGTTGTAAGGCAGCGAAATGAATAGAATGCGCTGTTTTTTTTTTCTTGAGCGAGAGCGCGGCGCAGTAGTGGAGAGTGGGTGGGTAGTGGTGGAGAATGGAAGGATTCGGGTGGTGTACAGGGACCGAGGGCGGGGAGGGCGACGCGACACACAACCGCCAAGGCCGATCGTCGGACAGCGTAATGACCAGTGTCCAGTGCCAAGCCACGCCCTGCGCTAACACCTGGCATCCATCCATCGCGGTCGGTGGTGGGTCGGTCAGCGCAGCAGCAGCAGCAGCCGAGCGCCGAGCAGCAGCCGAGGGTCGTCAAAACAACGCCGGCGGCGAGAGAGCGGCGGTCCGCGTGGAGGTGCGAGGGGCAGGCGAATCGACTCGATCCGCGCCCCCCTCTTCCCTCTCGCCTCGCCCTCGTCTCCAGCCGCGCATGTCCGAACACCGTCGCGACGTGCTGCCCAGCCATGCCAAGCAGGGCTGCTATCCGTGCTGGCGAAGGAATGTGCGGCCCGCACGGGGCCAGGAACAGACTTGGACCGAGCGCGTCGCAATAGCGCTGAGTGGTGCTGATCACAGGAGAAGAATCCGGCCGCTCCGGTGGTTGGTGAGAATAGTGCGATCGATACGGAATCGCCCCTCATAGTGCATTTCGGCGCCCCCGTCTCACAAATATGCGCGTTTTCGTGCGCAAACGTGAACACCACATATGCCAATTAATGTACAATGTGAAACAAGTA